CCATAGTGGGCTGGAGAAACTTGCCTGTAATTAACAAACCTCTGGAGGCTGAGTGGACAAGTCTGAGCATTAAAGGAGGTTCCAGACATGGAGGCCCCAGCCTCCACTTTTATGAATTTTATTGCTAGGAGCTCAGTGAGGTTGTCACAGTAAATACTGGAGAAAACCCTCATGTTGCTGGCAGAGGGAGGGGGAAAATAACCATTCTCAAATAACCAAAGGTTTGCCATCAAGAGAAGCGGTTTTACCAGAGCTGAAACTATTGGGGTTTTATCAGAGCCTAACTGATCTAGGGGATGTGAAATACCTAACTTCAGTACACTGTAGCCATCCTGTCCCTCTTAAGGGGCGGGGGAGTGACAAAGCACTTGTGAGGTAAGTCAGAGACCTAATAGACTGAGACCTAGTCACAGGACTATAGAAAGCCTGCCCTCCTCTAACACAACACCATCATATTACTAAAGGTTTATTTATTGCAGTTCCTTTGCTCAGTATATCATGTCTGGCTATCATAAAATTACAGAGCATGTTGTTGCTCAGTTGCTCATCATGTCTTACTCTGCAACCCCATGGACTGCAGCACGCCAGGCTTCCCTGTCCTTTACCATCTCCCAGAGTCTGCTCATACTCATGTCCACTGAGCTGGTGATCCCATCCAACCATCTCATTTTTTTTTTTTTCATTGTTTTACACTTTTTATTTGGCATTGCGGTATAGTTTATCAACAATGCCGTGACAGTTTCAGGAGAACAGTGAAGGGACTCAGCCACACACATACACACACCCATTCTCCCCCAAACTCCCCTCCCATCCAGGCGTCCACGTAACATTGAGCAGAGTTCCATGTGCTCAACCATCTCATTACAGAGCATACTAAAAGGAAAAAAAAATCACAATTTGAAGAGACCAAGCAAGCAACAGAACCAGACTTATATATGGTAAGAATGTTGAGAATTATCATACAGAAAAATTTAGATGATTATGAAGAATATGCTAACAGCTGTAGGAAATGAAGTAGACAGCATGCAAGAAGAGAAGTTCAATGTAAACAGAGATGGACATTCTAAGAACAAAGAAATGCTCCAAATCAAAAACACTATAACAGAAAAGAAGAAGCCTTTCACGAACTCATTATTAGACTGGACACAGCTTAAAAAAGCATCTTTGAGCTTGAGATATGTCAGAAGAAACTTCCAAGATGGAAAAACAAAAAGGAAAAAAGACTGAAAAAAGAAAAGAACAGAATATTTAAGAACTGTGGGACAACTACAAAACACATGTGTATAATGGGAATACTAGAAATAAATGAAAGAAAGGAACAGAAGTAATATTTGAAGCAATAGATACTGAGAAATTTCCCAAAGTAGTGACAGACAAGATTTGGGAATCTCAACTGACACCAAGCAAGATAAATGCAAAGGCTACACCTAGGCATATCATATTAACAATTAGAAAATCAAAGAAAAATCTTGAAAGAAGTCAGAGGGAAAAAAATCACCTTTCCTATAGAACAGAAACTTAAATCTGACTTATCTTCAGAAGTCATTCAAGCAAGTAGAGAGTGAAGTGAAATATTTAATGTGCTGAGAGAGAAAACATGCCCCTAGAATTCTGTACCCCATGAAATTACTCTTCAAAAGTGAAGGTGAAATAATTGGGGGTGGGGCACATAGCATGGCATGCAGGATTCTTAGTTCTCTGACCAGGGATAGAACAAGTGCCCCCAGCATTGGAAGCGTGGAGTCCTAACCACCAGATTGCGAGGGAATTTCCTGTAAAGACTTTCTTTGACAAAAAAAAAAAAAAAAAATTGAGGGAAATGGTTGCTAGTAGAGCTGTCTTGCAAGAAATAGTAAAAGAAGTTCTTCAGAGAGAAGGGAAACAATGTATCAATAGATCATATACTTGGAAAAGAAAGGAAGAGCATCTGAGAAAAAATAAGTGAAAATGCTCATTTTTTATTTTTTTAGGCCACATTGTGTGGCCTGTGGGATCTTAGTTCCCCGACTAAGGATGGAACCTGTGCCCCCTGCATTGGAAGCACAGAGTCTTAACCACTAGACCAGGGGGAGTCCCAAATAAGTGAAAGTAAAAGTAAAATTTGTATTTTTCTTGATAGGTAGTTGTTCAAAATAATATGTTCAACTATGTATGCTTATGTATACTTTAGTATACATATCAAAGAGCCTCTTGATGAGGGTGAAAGAGGAGGGTGAAAAACTGGCTTAAAACTCAACATTGAAAAAACTAAGATCATGGCATCTGGTCCTCTCCCTAGTGTTTTTGCTCAGTCGTGTCTGACTCTTTGTGACTCCACAGACTCTGGACCTCCAGCTCCTCTGTCCATGGGATTCTCCAGGCAAGAATACTGGAGTGGGTTGCCATTTCCTTCTCCAGGGGATCTTCCCAACCCAGGGATTAAACCTGGATCTCCCGCATTGCAGGCAGATTTTTTTTTTTTTTTTTTACCATCTGAGCCACCAGGGAAGCCCCCACTTCATGGCAAATATAAGGGGAAAAAGTAGAAGCAGTGACAGATTTTATTTTCTTCACTGCAGATGGTGACTGCAGCCGTCGGTTGTTTTTTGGAAGGAAAGCTATGACAAATCTAGACAGCATATTAAAAAGCAAAGACATCACTTTGCCAACAAGATCCGTATAGTCAAATATTTGGTTTTTCCAACAGTCGTGTTCAGCTGTGAGAGCTGGACCATAAAGGCGGCTGAGCATCGGAAGAATTGATGCTTTCAAATTGTGCTGTTGGAGAAGATTCTTGAGAGGCCCTTGGATAGCAAGGAGATCAACCCAGTCAATCCTAAAGGAAACCAGCCCTAAATACTCCTTGGAAGGGCTGATGCTGAAGCTGAAAGGACGCTCCAATACTTTCGTCAGCTGATGTGAAGAGCGGACCCATTAGAAAAGACCCTGACGCTGGGAAAGATCCAGGGCAGGAGCGACAGAGGGTGAGCTGGATGGATGGTGTCACTGACTCAATGGACATGAGTTTGAGCAAACTCCAGGAGACGGTAAAGGACAGAAAACCTGGCAGTGTTGCAGTGCATGGGGTCGCAAAGTCAGACACGACTCGGCGATTCAACAACTGCCACTACCAATCGCATGCGTCCTCCCCTCTCCTTAAACCCCTCCAACCCTGTCCCGCGCAAAGTTACCGACCTCTCTATCTCTTAGTGAATGCTGCCGTTTTCCTATTGTTTCCTTTCTTGTAAGAGCAAAACCCTTTTGAAGCCTTCAGTAGTTTCGCATTTGACACTCAGCGACAGCGAACGTCTGGCACGGGGCTTTGGCGCAAACACGATTAAAGGAAAGGATTGTGGGGCAGGGGGTGTGGGAGCAGGTGTATGTTCTCACGACACACTCCCCCGACCAATCCCCTTTTTACAAAAATAAATCAAAATGAAACCCTCTTCAGTTATCACCGGAGGGTTCCCTGCCCTCAGATGACTCCCGGAAATGACGCCGACAGCCCTACGCTCCGTCTGCCAGTCAGCAGCAGAGGCGGGCGGTGGACGTAAGCACGTCTGTCCCGCAACTCGTCCAGCTCGGGGAAGTCTGGAGAGCTCCGCCGGGGACCGCCGCCGGGTCTTCAGGAGCCGGGCCGACTGAGCCTGCGCAGGTATGCAGGGGCGAGGCGCCAGATAATCCCGCCCCTTCCAGCCTTTGCGGCCAATGAGCAGCTAGTGACCCGGGACGGGTAAAGCCTTAAGAGCCGGAGTGATTAGCCGAAAGGGCAGTCCCGCCCCTGGCCCCTCCCAGCCTTCGCGCCCCGCCTCGACCCGTCACCGCCCCGCCTCCCTCTCCCGCCCGCCTGCCTGGCTGCGGGGTGACACGGGGCTTTGGCTTGGGAAGGGGGCGAGGGAAGCGAGTGAGACGGCGGCAGCACAGTCCCCCCAAAGTGAGCGCGGTGATGGGTAGCGGGTCCTAGGGAAGCGAGGGCCGCGTGGCAGAAATGGGAGGGCCCGGGTGCTTGGTGGCGAACGCGCGCTAGAGTGAGGGGCGGCCGTGAGGGGGCGAGGTTGACCGGGGCGTGTCCCGGTGCGGTCGGGAGGGCGTGGATAGCGGGTCGGGGGACGCCCTGCTCTTCTTGTCTCCTTTCCAGATCTCTTGGCAGCTTGGCACAAATTAAGTTTGCCTCCCTTTCGGTTGTCTGGGCTGCGAGGTGGAAATTTAAAGGTCCCCAAAACACTTGGAGCCTTTCCCAGGGTGTTTTCCTGACTGGTGCGTTTGTGGTCCTTTCTTCTTAACTGGGTGGAGAGGTGGAGAGGCTAGGTGGGCTGGTCGACGTTTACTGTCTGAGGATTGTTCAAACAAACAGACCAGGAATTCTTCACCCTCCTCCCCACGCCCTGCCCTGCAACACAACAGCAAACATTCCCAACAAGTTTTAAGAAGCCGACTGTAAAATTCTGAGGGATTCTATGTCTGCAATGTGTTAGTAGTAAGTTGTGCTCTTTCTTAAGTTTATAGAAAGTCTATGAGTGGCATTTTTGCTGCTTATTATCATTGGACAAATTTTTTGTTATAAGTACTCATCTTTGAGTTCTGTCCAAGGGGATTCTGACTTTATGTTGATATGAAATACTGCATTAGTTGTGATGTTTTCCTGAAACAAGTTTCTGTGAAATTCAGTCAGTTGTAAAAGCTTAGCCGGTTGTTCGTGGACGTGATGTAGATAAATTTCTAGTCCTGATAAACCTGCAGTTACTATTATAGCCTCTTTTTAAAGCAAATCCTTGCATGTTTTTCTCTTTCACAGATTTTTGTAATTATCCAACGACCACCGATGATGATAGGTTGGAGAAACTGCTGAAACTGAATTTTATTGACCAGAAGGGAGTCCATTTGTTCCACTTCTTTTTGTTTTCCTTACTGCTTTGAGCTTTACTGTAACGGCTGAAAAACTTGGAAAATAAAATGAACACTCTATGGTCTTGAACTTTTTTTTTTTGAGGAAAAATTAAAGTGCCAGCGTGAAAGCCAGAATGGCATCTAGAGAGAGACTCTTTGAACTTTGGATGCTTTATTGTGCAAAGGTAACTGCTTTCCTTTTTTATTTCTAATTTTAAAATACTTTGTTATAAAATTTTGTGACTTGCCTTATCAGCAATTTATTTAATGGATAATGGCATATTTATTCCCAGTATTGACTTTAAGAACACGGAATTTTCTTTTTTCCACTTTATCAGATTTGAACACAAACACAGTATTGGCATGCTATTAAAAACTGTAGGTTGTGGCTTTAATTTGTCTTCAGTGATCCTGAAATTATATAAGTAAAATTATAACCTTTGAGAAAAATAAAATATTAGTACTTTTGTTTGTGCTAGTTTTTCCTCCCACACTTTGGAGTAAGGATGGAGATATTGTTATGAGAAGAGAATTAAGCATTTTTCTCATAATTAACCTCTTAAAAGATTATTATATAAAAAGGCTATTGATTTGAAGTGGTTACTGTAAGCTTGCCCTGATGTTAGTACCATTGTCTCCCTTGATCCTCACAACAATCTTGGGAAATGTGTATTGTAATTACCCACTCCCCCTGCCCCCCGCCTTTTTTTTTTATTAATGAGAAGAACTGATGCAGAATTTAAAGGGGTTAGTAAGAAGCAGCCCCTTCTACTTCTGAATATAGCTGGGAAGCCAGCACTGCTGATTCAAGTCCGTGCTCTTATCTATTATAACTCTTCACTATTTTTAGTTTAGTCGCTCAAAAATTATTTTTTCTCTCTTCATCTTTATGTGAATTTTTACATGTTAGTTTTGATTGCATGTTATTAGAGGAGAAGCGTGCTACTTAAAAACATGTTTTTCAAGTAAGGAGCTACATTACTACTTTGAAAATATTGGCATGTGTCAGAGTAACATCTCTAATTCATTACTTAATTTACTTTAGGTCTCTGTGAAGGTCTCAGCTTCTGTTTCTGCTTTATCCCTCAGGGCTCCCTTTCAATACTTTGAGCTCTTTAAAGAACAAGTTATTCTTTAACAGATGATCTCAGTTATCTTAATATTAAATATTAGAGCTCACGCTGGAGTTTTCTGTGACTTCCTGGTTTGATATTTCTTACTGAAGGACATATACTTGAAATATTTAACATAGATTTTTGAAATAGTTTTTAGTCTTGTGTAATTTAATGCCAGAAATGAATTTTTTAAAATAGGCCACTCTTCCAATAAAAAAAGGAATCCAATTCATTACTTTTGAAAATAGTCAGTAACACATGTCAGCCAAAAATTAAAATGTCTTTTACATTTTAGTATGTGTGCCCAGTAGTTTGAAAATGACTCCTTTAAAAATCCATCAAACTTAACTAGGTTTTACACTTTAAGAATGACAAAGAAGTAAATGGAGTTACACTGTCTTACTAACTAGTCGTGTTGTTTCTAGGTCGAGTTCATGTTTTATTCAAGGGACACTGTGCTTATTGAAAAGATAGTGCAGTTTTGTTGACATACACAGAATTTTGTTTTTAATGACTTAACATAAATGTTACTATTTTATGAGAATGTTTGAGTAAATATTGAAGCCCCTTCGTGGTCAAATTGTGAAACTTAAGCTTGGGCTGGAAGATCAATCCCATTTTTATATTTAATATTTAAATCACTTGTGCTCTTAATAAGATTATAATTTTTTTCAGCTGTTTTCATAAATCATTATTTAAAGTAATGATTTTATGTTTCAGCAATTCATGATTAAGCTCTTGTAAGCCAGACAACAACTTTCTTTTCTTTCAACACCTTGAATTCAAGTAGCTTCCAAATATGCATCCTAGATTTAACTCTTTTGCTTGCTAGTGAGGATGATTCCCTAATACCCAGTTCTCTGTGGTACTGTCTTCTAGCCTTACCGCTCTCACTCTAGCACACAGCCCATCAAACCACCTGGCTTTCTCTTTTTCTCTTGACTAACATTTAGGACTTTCTTTTTACACCTTTGATGGGCTTTCTGACTACTTCAGGACTGCTCAGATCTTCTTTTAACTTGGCTCGGACTTAGATCTCTTTTTGGGTTTGCTGTTGTCGTGTCTGGTTTTGGCTCTGCTGCTTTCTTTTGTGACCTTGCTCAGGACTTATCTCTGGGTCTCAGTTCTCTTATTTGTCAAGTAGTACTGTGTATACAAGGAGAATTCTTGTCTAACTCACCGTATGATTTTCATTAGTTTTGACCTCTGTGGGACAAGGAGCTTTTTTTTAATCCCTATCCTGTGGGTTATCATGTGATACTTTTTAGTTCATCTTTCTTTTTTAAACTTTTATTATGAGAAATTTCAAACCGGCACAAATAGAGGATACTGTAGTGAACACTTTAATTATCTGTTACTGTGCTTCAATAACTATCAGTTCATATTCAGTGATGTTTCAGCTATAAGCGTCCCCTACCCTTCTCTCCACCTCTGAATTATTTTAAAGGAAATCCCAGACAACATATCTGATCCATAAATTTTTTCTTAAATTTTTTAAGGATAATTGCTGTACAGAATGCTGTGGTTTCTCCCCCCCAACCTCCTTCTCTTCTCTCTCCCCATCCCGCCCATCCTTCAGCCTGTCACAGAGCCCCTGTTTGTGTCCCTGAGTCATAGAGCAAATTCCTGTTGGCTATCTGTTTTACATATGGTATTGTAAACTTCCATGTTACTCTCCATACATCTCCCCTTGATCCATAAATATTTAAAAATATATCTGTAAAGTAAGAACTCCTCTTAAAAATATAATCTCAGTATAATTCTTTAAATCATCAAATATTTGGTCAGTTTTCAAACTTTCCTAAGCTTCATAAATGTTCTTATTTCCCTACTGTTTGTTTGACACAGTATTTAAACAAAACATACTTGTATTTTGCTGAAAATTTATCTGTGAAGTCTTAATCTGTGGGTTCCCCCCACCACACTTTTTATCCCTTCTATGCCATTTGTTGAAGAAACCAGGTTTTGACATTAAAATTTCCTCAGTTGGGTTTTGCATGTTGAATTCCCTTGATTTTAATTGTTGGGCTTCCCTTGTGGCTCAGCTGGTAAAGAATCCTCCTGCAATGCAGGAGACCTAGGTTTGATCCCTGGGTTGGGAAGATTCCCTGGAGAAGGGAACGGCTACCCACTCCATTATTCTGGCCTGGAGAATTCCATGGACTGTACAGTCCATGGGGTTGCAAAGAGTCGGACACAACTGAAAAACTTTCACTTAATTGTTACTTCTGCTAGTGTATGCACACTGGCAGATCAGGAGGCTTCATTGATTCACATTCTGTTTGGTGTGGGGAGGCTAGTATAATTCATGAGTGTCTTGGCCATCAGTGACTTTTGCCTATACACATTAATTATTTCAGTAGGAGTTTGAAAAACTATGATATTCCAATTTTATCTTTTATTTATTAGTAGAACATATGTAGAAAAATGTCTGTCAATTATTTGATGACAGTTCCTTAAAGGGAAGTCAAGCAGAATAAATGTTTGATTCTTTCTCTTTGTTTTCAGAATAATTCCTTGATTATTAGCATCCTCCCAAGGTGACCAGTTAATTTTCTTGACTATCAAGTTCATCTTAATGAGTAAAATTTAAACACTGTCTTCTGTTTTGCTGCCCTAGTTGGTAGTCCATTCATATCAAACACTGTACACATACCTGACTAAAGAAGACTTTGAAGATTTATGAAGTTCTGCTTCAGGGCAATATGTATGGTTAAGACATCTTCCCTCTTTGCCACACTGCAAACCTTGGCCCAGGTATTCAATGGTGTTTTAGCAGTAAATGAATATTAAGATGCTGTCATAATGTTCTGTCTAAAGTGATGTATTAAAGGTTGCCATTGAGCATTATCTCCAGGCCAGAATACTTGAGTGGGTAGCCTTTACCTTCTCCAGGGGATCTTCCCAACCCAGGGATCAAACCCAGCTCTCCCGCATTATAGGTGGATTCTTTAGCAGCTGAGCCACAAGGGAAACCCAAGAATACCTGAGTGGGTAGCCTTTCCCTTCTTCAGGGGATCTTTCCAACTCAGGAATCAAACCCGGATCTCCTGCATTGGCAGGTGGATTTTTTACCAATTGAGCTATCAGGGAAGCCCCAAAAGAACCTCATGAGAGTTTTATAGATGTTTAAATAGGACTCTTATCAGAAAGAACCTTTGGATAAATACTGCTTGGTCAAAGGAATACTAAGGAGATGTATAAAGATGTCTTCTTCCCATTAGTCTAGGTTTAGTTGCAAGCCTAAATCCTAGTATTAAAGTTTTTAAAGTAGAATTAAGATAAATCCAGTGTTTGCCAGGTGGGTCCCACATATTAACAATATTTCAGAAAAATTTGGCTAAAAAGCTTTGCAATTTGTTTTTTTTTAACCAAAGTTTTCAGGTCTAACTTTTCACTTTCTCTTTCTAGGAGTAGGATTTCATTGTTAAAAACATGCATCTTCCTTGTAGGTTATTTATTAACCTCATGTAGTTTTTTTTATATAATTGAAGCAGGAAGATTTCTGATTACCCGATGTGCCTGTTCTGTATAGAGTCTTGCCCCAATATATGAGACTACTAATTCAGTTATGTAGTCTGAACTTTTCTTGTCCTCAAACAGGCATCCCCACCCAGGGTCAAGGATTTCATCAACAATGTATTTCATATAGCTCTTGCGAGTTAAACGTTAACTTGAAAACAGGTTTACTCTTGTTCCTGGATTTTAGTTGAGTGGTTAAGTACTTCTTGTCTGACCACATTTTTCTGAAGTGTAGAAAGCAGCTTTATTTTTTAATATCTAAAGATTTTAGTTTATTTTATCTGTGCTAGGCACCCTCTTAATCCCTGTATCTTTTGACATTATTTCTTTCCTTAATGTGCTTATGGTAAGAGAGATGGTGCTGAGAACAGTTTTGGTGTGTACATTATACAACTTTTTGGAATCCATACATTGGGGAACAGGCATATATGTATCCCGGTCACAACTGTTCCCCTCGGAGGGCCTAAGGATATATTTCTGTTCAACATGTATTCTTTTGGAAGTTCTTCAGTTGGTCACCAAAGTATGCAGAAGAGAAACTGAGTTCT